TATGCGACCAAGTGCCTCAGGTGGTTTAGGCTTGTTAATTTAAAAATAACTAGATATACCATTGAATACTTGAGAAAAACTTACTCGTCCAAAAGACATTTGCTGCATTGGATTTTGTTGATGAGCACTCTGTTGATTTCGATTGAATGATGTTCCTATAATTCATGAATAAAGGGATGAGTTTCAGGTGTATTTATGTATGTTATAGTTATTCATGCATTTTACAGTTACATGTACTGCGAATACGGGGAATGATTTACCTTGTTTTAGAACAATACCATCTTCAGTTTCATTTGAGTTGAGTCGAGGGAAATAGGCTACCACTCCAATGCTAATCATAATAACAACAAGTAACAATAAAATGGGCCAATAATGTTCAGTTATTGTTCTATAAACCGTTTGTGACCATCTAGTTCTATAAAAAAATAAATCGAGTATATATTCTGTAAAATTATATCCAGTAAATACGATAATTACTTTGATTTAGATCGTTCTGTCCGCACCGACGAAGTTAATAGATCTTGTTGTTGTTCCACATTAGTCGTTGTATCCTCCATTGTAGATTTTATTTGTTAATATTTCTTATTGTTCGATGATTCTGTACTTGAATTTGTCGTTTTGTATTTACCAATACAGAATTCAGTAATATAAGAAATGTATTCTGTTCATACAAAATACTCACTTATATATACGACAAGGGCATAGCCAGGAAAAGGGGGTGCCCATGTACCGAGGGCACCCCCTTAGAGAAGAAATATCTGGAGGGGGACACAGGTTATAAACAACTATTCGCAGAGCAAGGAGTTTTTCTGCTGGCGAGCACCCCGCTCGGAAGATTTCTGGGTACAGCATTGATGTATGATCATAAAAGAACAAAAAAATAGAAAAGCAATGATGATAAGGAGAGATGAAAGAGCAATAAGATAAAGTCAAAGTACGTGATCATATTTGATAAAAGGACAAGTGAAAGGATTCAACTTTGACTTTCCAGTACATCATGTATTTATTACATATATTATAACTTATGTCCTTTTATCATGAAAATAAAATATTCATCAAATATCAAAATAATAAACTACGAGCAAAATAAAAATAAATGAAGATAAAAGTATAATAAGTAGAAAAGCATATGACGAGTATATCGATAAGCGGACATTAAGAAAAAGAGATGTGATAAAAAGAAATAAAGGTGAAAGTACCTGTGTAAATATAAAATGATAAAAGAGAAACTGACGAACTTGAAGTACAAATATACATGATTCGATGTTTTGCTCTTTGATAAAACCTAACATCGTATAAATATTGAGATCATGTAATGAAAATGAATGTTAATATCTTGAGGGTGGGTGTTAGTCAGAGTTGCCAAACCTTCTGATTTGACCTGGAGACTCTTGATTTTTAACTCTTTTCTAGAATCCCTTGCCATAATAGAAGCCCCCATACTGAGATAAGCAATGCGTTTAACGTAGTAGAGGTCCGTTAATTTTTCCAAAAACCTTTTCACATTTTTAAGATTTTTTTTCGAGTTTTCGTGATAGAACTGCTAAAACTTTTTGAGCTTAAGATAAAAATTTCGCTGTTTCCAATCTAGCTGTGATAAAAATCTTCAAAATCTGTAGAAATCTGTCGAATCGTTTTTGTAGTCAGTCTATGGAATTTTTTGAGACTTAATAAGGTTTACTTCAATTCTAACGCCGTTCAATGCCTAAAAAATGAGAAAAAAAGAGAATTATCTTAGCTAAATATATTTAGTAGCAATCTAGGCGGTGCGAAACCAGCATTATATTCAATTTTTTGAAATTCTAGAAGATCAGACCGAAATCATGAAAAGTCTGATCGCACAATAGAATTTTATTTTTGAAAAAATACAAGTTCTGATTTGCAAAGCTCAATTTCATATTGTGTATTTATAGAATACTTCTACATTTTTTTTTTGAAATGATATGGATCAGTGCCGAAAGTTTGTTGCGAAATGGTAAACCAATCTGGTCGATAAATTGATCGATTGAAATCACATGTTGTTCCGAAAAATTCCGTTAAAACAGACATAAAAAACAGCGAAAAAACCTCAAATTCATCTGAAAAACAATTTTTATAGAAAAATGTACCCGAATATGAGATGCACTCGCGGACAAAGTCTTTTTTTTCTATTTATTTCTGTGCTACCATACTTTGTGTAAAATTTATTACCACGTAAAGATATGACTTGAGAGTTTTTATTATACTGTAATCTGTATATTATACTAACATGAAACTCTCGAGTCATATCTCTACTCAGCAATAAATTTCATGTAAAGTATGATAGCAAAGAAACGAAGAAGGAAAAGATTTTTCTGCGAGTGCATAGTTTAAGAGAGCATGTATGAGTCATCCAACAAAAATCATTTTTTTAAATTGAACCTCACAACAAAGAATTAAATAACCTGTGTTTTAACTCCTTTTGTATCAATTCTACCAGAAACTTATGCGGTATCTTAGTTTTTTATGACCACAAACAAGATCGACAACGAAGGCCTTTGAAAAATTTTAACGCGCAAAATTTTGATCTCTACCATTCGACTGATTCTTTTTGAAACCGATCCAGTTTCAGTGCTGATTTAAGGTCGATAAATAATGAGTTTAAAGAACTAATTAAAAGTCAAATTTCAGTCTTACATAATTTTGATGATGTGAAAATAGGAATAAAATGGAAAACGATCCTAATGAATGTCTAGTTCAAAAGTAAAATAAAAAAATGTCTGAGATAGTAAAGAACTGTTGAAACCAATTCACTCAAAAGACGAATACAATCGTGAATTAACAATATTAAAAAAAAACGTAGGAAGCGGTGTACTCTATTTGTTGATTATAGTGGTGCATTTGAAAGTGAATATTTTCATTTAATAAGACGTGCTTTTCGATATGCTATTATCTATTCAATTGATATTCTCTATGAAGATCTTGATTTATTAATTCATAATATGAATGAAGATAAAAGAAAATGGTGTATATTACATCCGTATTTAGTTGTACGAATAAATCCAATAAATTTCAATTAATTGAATCATTACGCCACGGAATTGAAAAATCATCATCATTTTGGTATGGAATGAATATATGGAAACTAGAATTTGATCGTACAATTAATTATTTACAAATTTATGATCCATATACAGAAATTCTTGATTTAGAAAAAATTCATTTTATTCATACTATATATAAATGTGAAATAAAACCATATTCTCTATTTATGGCTTATTTTACTTATAGTGCAACATCAAATGTTGAACCACTTATATCAAATGGTTTAATAGATCTTCGTTTTGCGAGTGGGTGTAGTTGTAGATAGAGAGAAGATACACTCACACCACAACCTCAATGAAATTCAAAGATACAAAAGAAAACAATAGAGTTCATTTCCGCAATTTAAGGATCTTTAGTTTGGAATTTGGAAAGTAAGCTTAGCAAATATTGGTTCGGAATGGAAAAATGAATTTGGCAATTGTGCAAACTTTTTGAAAGAATACTTTTGTAAACACGTGATTGGTATGGCAATTAGCAAAAGTTATATATTTAGTCATCAATTCATAATATTTTGTCTAGAAAACCTGACTTTCCTCACTTAGAATTTAAATAAATTACTTAGCAGAAAATCTTTTTTTTAGATTTCTATAAAACAAATTACTTGGAAAATATGGGATTCTTTATTTAGCATTTATATATTTCTACTTAGCACTTAAATATATGCCCTTTTTTTAATAAGAGGCTCTTTTGACCTCGACGTGATAAAAAGAAAAATAAGAAATAATGAGCACTCAATTATGTTTTTTTCACATCATAAAGAAATAAGAATAATAAGATATACATATCTTTTCTTTTTAATTTTCTTTCTTTCACTCGTCGGCTTCTCTTTAGGACGTAGTAAATACATAATTACAGAGAAGAGAAAGAAAGAAGATTATAACAATGTTAGAGAGAGTAAGAGAGTGAAATATAGTCACATTGTCTCCATATAGATATGAGCACTCAACTATGAGTGATGATGCACAAGCATTTTCTCATTCTCTACTTTCATTTAAACACACATCGAAAGATAGTGCAAATAAGAAATTGACGTTAGTCGCTTCTCTCATTACAGAACACAACATTTTTCGACAACGATGTCCGAGACAATTTTATCATATGTGCAAGAAATATTGATTCAATATTTCATGACCACTTATCTTGGAATGGGTCTTTTAGGCAATATGTGTAATTGCATTGTGTTTACACAACCTGCGCATCGTCGTACGCCCTGTTCACTATATCTTTTGGCAATGTCAATCTTCGCCAGTCTTTATCTTATTTGGTCAAACTTTCCATTTCTCTACCAACTTGAGCATAATGATCCCCAGACACAATCAGTGGTCTACTGCAAGATGAGATTATATGGCAGTCACGTTCTTGGACAATGTGTTCGCTATCTTATTGTGTGTGCTTGTGCTGATCGATTCTATGTTACACGAGCAAATCCTCGTATACGATCTTTGAGTTCGGTTCATATGGCATCGAAATTTATATTAATCGTGGTGACAACATGGGTAGTAACAGGCTCGCATCTGCTAATATTTTTAGATCTACGCACTGGTGTCTGTGGATTGTTTGGATCTTACAAGTTATTCTATTCGATCTATGCCACCATACTGATCGCTATTGTACCGCAAATGTTAATGAGTATTTTTAGTTTTCTCACTATTCGTAGCCTTCATCAGCTGCATGGTGCTCAGACACTTCTTCGACAGAAAGATCGTGATCTGATGCGTATGTTAATTGTTGAACTCATAATTAATATTTTCACATCAGTTCCTTATGCAACTAATCTCATATATGGTGCGGGGACATTATCCGTTGTCAATAAGAGTGCTGAACGACTTGAAGTTGAATCATTTCTTAATTTTCTCTCTAATTTTTTTATAAACATGCTTAGTGCAACGCCATTTTACCTATTTATAACTTCGTCCAGATCATTTCGACAAGAGTTTTTTCAAATATTGAAGAGATGGTGGTACAAATACATTCTACGACGAACGCAAGTGGCACCTTCACATTAACTAACTGCGATAAGAATTCTAGATCATAAAGAAGGTCGTAATAGACGATAAAAACTTTCATTAATGAACGACACTAAAACGTGCCCGAAGTCATTTTTCGTGAGACTTTTTATCAGGGCTACTGAATGTACAAGCCTCATATCGTCTCAAACACCATATTGAAGGTGTGAGTGTTTTAATCAAAAGCCTACACCCACACCCACTCTTATGATCAATCTTTAGTTGAGCAGCTTTTTTGAAGATGTGAAAATGTGAGAAAGTTTTGATCATTTTATTTGTAGAAAGAAAAGCTCTTCAATAAACCTTCTCAATAGAAGCGTAAGATGGTGGCAATGAACTATCCACATCCGTATTCATGGTAACGGGAAATCTTAGTGTTAGATTGCTTAAAATTCCATGCACCCTCACTAACATTTCGAATTCATAAGTGACCAACATCGGATTCACTGCTGACAAAAGAGGATAGTTCAATGAATTGTAGGACAGTGTCGATGGGATATGTTCAGTCGGAAGAGTCAATTCGATTTGATCATGTAAATGTTCCTCTTGAAAGTTATTCACATTTGACACATCCTTCTGAAGAATCACCGTTTTCAGAGGTTTCGACTTGAACATAGTCCGATATTGGTAAAGTTTAACTTGAATTCCTTCGATAACGGATCGTTTCGGATTGTAAAGATCGTATTGAATTGAAAATTGAAGACCAGGCGAAACGATGCTTCGTGCAATAGATGCCTGTAAACGAACATCTCTCTGATGAGTGTCAAATGTAGCTGGATGATACAAATGATCAGGAATATCTAGACGAGAATAGACCGTAATTGGGATGGAATGAGAAAAGGTTTGGTAACGCCATTTTTTCACTTGCAGTACCACACGAATACAATATATAATTGTCGGATGAAAAGATGGTGGAAGATCGACAGGAAGCGAAAAACTAAACGACCATTTGTTGGAGACGCTACTTTCGCAGTTTGTCTTATTATTTACCTAAACAGAAATTATTTGATCAAGATTTTTAACAAAAACTGTGTTCCAACCTGCATCACTTCAGTTAACAAACTTCGACGTTCGTTGAAAAAAGCAACTTGCTCTATGATAGGCACCATACCGGCCATATTACTAGGGTCACCTTGTGTTATACTTGTCATGCAGGGAAATTCACCAACTAATTCAACATAAGCATCTTTCAATTTAAAATCAGAAAATTGTTCTGTATCCTGAAGTTGAATAGTACATTCCACATGTTCACCCAAGAAATAGACTGGATCATTGGTTGATCGATTCGTTAAATTTATCATCAGTCCAGAAATAGTGTTACTGTCAGTATTACCCATGAGTTGGTTCGCAAAGATAGATAGAAAAGATTCGGTGTTGACAAAGATCGTCGACAATATTAATAGTAGAAAAAATAAAGTGATAATAACATTTACTTACATATGTCTCTCACACGTTGACGAAGAAATGAATAAAAATGACGTGTTTCTTATTCTCTTCTGGCAAACAATAGTTCTGACGTCAACATGATAATGCTGACAGATAAGAAAAATTTCTCTAGTCATATTGTTGAAACTATCCACATCCTCAATGTCTGATGTGTTAACAAAATCTCTTATTGTTTGAAAAAGTCTGTTAAAATGTCGAAATCACAATATTTTGACAAATATCTCAAAGCATCTTGAGGGTGTGGGTGTATTAAATCAATACTTACACCCACACCCACACTCTTAAAATCTTAATATGTACGCGACCGATCGGTCAGAGAACATGGTCTTTGAATAAACATCTTAGATAAAAATGATTCTTTTTATTTTAAAATTTTCAGAAAGAAAAACAAAAATATGATTATGAATTTGTATAATTAACAAGATTTCCTTGATAATTCTTATAATTGAAACCAATCTTTAGTTCAATAAATGTCTAGAAAAGGGGAGAAAAACGATAAACAATAAAATATAATTGATAATTACCGTATTAGTTTTCAATAAATCTCGAAGGTATTCTATTCCAATATATCCAATTGGATTACAAGAAACATCGAGTTGTTTAAGTGTCTAAAGATATTTTCAATTTATGTTAATCTAAATAATTAAATAAAGATTACTTGATTTCCTTTTAATGATTGTGAAAAATATTCGATTCCATTTTGATCAATTTCATTTCTTCGAAGATATAATGATGTCAATGTCTATTCAGAAAAATCAATCAGAATAAAAGAAATGAAAGCGAATAAAATTTACTGTATTTTTCTCTAAAGCATCACCAAGATATTTCACCCCAGAAAGTCCAATTTGATTAATACCAAGATTTAATTTTAAAAGTGTCTATTGAAGAAAAAATTAATAAATAGAAAACGATAAAAGAATAAAGAATATTAACAGTATTTGTTGATAGAAAATCAGCAACAATTTGTGTTCCTTCATTTCCAATTTGATTATTTGATAAATCAATTTCAACCAATGTCTATTTTAGGAAAATCAGAAAAAATATAAGAAGAAAAGAAAAGTTTTACTTTATTTCTTTGTAATATAATCATAAGAGATTGAATTCCTTGAACTCCTATTCGATTATTATTTAATCTTAAGATACTCAATGTCTATATTTCAAGGCAAAATTCAATGAAAATATTCAATAAATTAATAAAAACTTACTGTATTATTCTGTAGAGCATTAGCGAGACTCTCTGTACCGATTGGACCCATATTAACACGAGAAAGAATCAATGTTTCTAATGTCTATTATAGTTTAAATTACATTGTAGATTTAACAAACATACCTAAATTCACTTTGATATTTTTTAAAATAGAAGAAAGATATGTTAGACCATCATCTCCAATTCGATTGTTTTGTATACATAAATCTCGTGCTTCATTTGATAAAATACTATTATTTATTAAATTTAGTATACGAAGTGTCTGATGAAGAAAAGTAAAAGAAGGATTTTGTAAGAAAAAATTGTTTAATATTCATACAGAGCTTTTTAATAAAATATCATTAAAACATTTAATTCTATTCTTCTTGATTGGACTGTTTTTTATTTTTAATGTGACTGGATCATTCAATATATTGATAATTATTCGAATTAATTCCTTTGTCGAGTATATATAACTGTCTAAACCTAATGTTTCTATAGTCTAAATTTACACCAAATTATTCAAATCAATGATTTCACTGTGCTTACCGTATTGTTTTTCAATCCATCAGCAAGATATTTCAATCCATTTTGACCAATCTCATTAATGTTTACATGCAATATCGTCAAACTCTATTCGAGAAAAAAGATGATATATATACAAATCCAAAACCAAAGAGAATTACCGTATTATAACGCAAAGCATCACCAATATATTGTGCACCAGCAGACCCGATATATTTCTTATTGAAATTTTCATGTGATGTCTATTTACACAAATAAATATTCGAATTAAAAGAAAAAAGATAAATCTTACCAAATTCTTGCGTATGCGTTCGGCTATTTTAAGTGCTTCACAATAACCACAGACGTCTCCTTCGAAGTCCGATTGTGAAAATACGGCGCTGTTCCGTAATAAAGAAATGACATTTTCTCTTGCTTTTGATTTACGAGACTTTGATTCATGTTCACGATTGGAGGTATAATACAGAAATAATTCAGTGAGTGATTGTACCTTGATATGATAAAATTAGATAAAGAAATCAAGATGAAATCAAAATTACTCACTGGATTATTTCGTAAAGCCTCAATCAAATAATAAACTCCTGCAGCCCCAATTTCATTACCAAAAAGATCTAATGTTTTAAGTGTCTATGAAAAGATTTCTAGAATTGGAACGAAAATCATACGAGAGGAAATCCTATTACTGTATTCTCTTGTAAGGTATCAGCAAGATATTTTGCACCTGCAATGTCAATTTGATTAAAACGTAAGTTCAGTTCTTCTAATATCTAAATCAAACAAACAAAAATCTGTATATTCGAAATGACAAGAGAATAATAATAACTGTATTATGTCGTAGAGCTTCAGCGATGATCTTAACTCCATTATCGTTAATATTAGCGTACTCTAAGCTGATTTGTTTTAAGCTCTAAGAATATGGAAAACAAATGTTAAAAGTCTACTAAACCCAAAAGTTACATGATCATTTTTGATTTGCAACGACGCTTCAACAGCTCTGCAATAACTGCATTTATTGTAATTTAAAGATAATTGGATGATAATCTGTTTATAAGAAAGAGAAGAGAAATAAAATCTTATTAAAAGCGACGAAAACATACTGTCTTCTTCTGTAATTCATCATATAAACATTGTGCTCCAGTTATATCAATTTTATTGCTATTAAGATTGAGTATTGTGACACTCTTTACATAGAAAAGATTATCAATACAAGACATACTAGACGAAGATAGAGATTACCGTGTTCGTTTTCAATGCAGTAGCAAGATTTCTAGCACCATCATCACCAATATTGTTCCCTGCAAGATTGATCTTTTCGAGTGTCTAGATATTGAAAATGGGTTAATATATTTGTATAAAATAAAATCAAACAAGTAAATTCAATTACATTATTGTTTTGTAACACTTGAGACAAAGATTTTGCTCCATCAGCTGTAATCTTGTTTTGATGAAGATCCAACTCCTTCAATGTCTAAACAAGAATTGATAGAGTTAATTGAAATAATATTAAAAGATATGATTACTATATTCTTATGTAAAGCTTTACAAAGCCAAGACATTCCTTCATCACCAATATTATTTGTTGCGATGGAAACTGCCATCAACGTCTACAGACAAATACAAGATAAAGAAAGATTACAGAAAGATGATTGATACTTTATTTGTGTTCAATACATCAGCTATAGATTTGGCTCCTTCGTCTCCGCTATCATTGCTATCGAGCTTCAATTTACTAAGTGTCTGTGTAGAAATCAAAAAAGAAATGAAAATGATAGAAAACTAATTATGAATTACAGTGTTGTGTCGTAAAGCTTCAGCAATATAATATACACCAGCACTACCAATTTTGTTACTACAAAAGTTGAACGTTCTAAGTGTCTGTGAAAAGAACCATAGAATTATACGAAAATAATATAGGAAGCTGATTCTATTACGATATTCTTTCGTAAGGCATCAGCAAGATATTTTGCTCCTACAACTTCAATATGATTATAGTGTAAATCAAGTTCTTCTAGTGTCTAAGTGAATAAAAAGACAAATTGAATATTGGAAATGAGTAGAGAATATCAATAACTGTGTTATGTTGTAGAGCATTTGCAATAATCTTGGCTCCCACATCGTAAATCCCAGCACCCAATGAGATTTTTCTTGGACACTAAAAACAATAGAGGAAACAAAAATAAAAATTGAAATCAATCAAAAGCAAGACTACATAATCATTTTTCATTTGTAATGCAGTTTCAACAGCTTTATAGTAATCATTTCCATTTCCTTCTAAAGACAGTTTAACGTCAGTCTGCGTATAGAGAAGAAAAGTTGAATACAATTTTGTAGAAAAAGATAAAATGGTATACCATATCTTTTTGTAAATCATCAAATAAATATTTTGGTTCGGGTACAGTAATTGAATTATCATTGAAATTGACCATTAGAACAGTCTACATATAAAAAGTAGAATAAGTACGTGATGCAACAGAAGGTACTGCAAACTACCGAGTTTTTTTTTAATGTGATAGCAACATTTCTAGCACCATCATCACCAATACAGTTGTATGCAAGATTGATCTTCTCAAGAATCTAAATATTGAAAATCAAGTTAAATTTTACGCAAAACAAAAGTCAGATAAGTAAATTCAATTACATTGTTGTTCTGTAATGTTTCAGATAAAGATATTGCTCCATCGTTTGTAATCTTGTTTTGATGAAGATCCAGCTCCTTCAATGTCTAAATAAGAATCGATAATATCATTTCAAATAATACTAGAAGATATGAATACTATATTCTTATGTAATGCTTTGCAAATATAAGACATTCCTTCGTCACCAATATGATTTGTTGCCATAGAAAGTGTTATCAATGCCTACAAACAATAAACGACAAAGAAAGATGAGAGAAAGAGGTGATAGATACTTGATTTGTATTCAACGCATCAGCTATATGTTTAGCTCCTTCGTCTCCCATATAATTGCCATCGAGGTTCAATTTAGTAAGTGTCTATAAACAAAAAAAAAAGATCAAATGAAGTATGAAAAACATAAGAAGACTTTGTTAGTTTCCAAAAGATAAGTAATATGTTTGGCTCCTTCATGTTGAAAATCACTGTAACCCAGATTCAGTGTAATTAGTGTCTATTTATATCAAAAGTAGTAGGTATTTAAAATATCGTGAATAAATGGGATTTACCGTATTATTTAATAACGCTTCAACGAGGTATTGTGTACCAAGTGCTTTGATTTTATTAGCAAATAAATTTAGCTCGATAGTTGTCTATATTTTAAAGAAAAAAAAATTCAGATAGTATGAAGCAGATCAACTGTGAAGTACCTGATTATTTTGTAATGCATGAGCGAGAATTTGCAAATGCGAATCTTTTAAACCTTTGTGAGTAAGATTTAGTACAGGGAGTGTCTATATATAAATTAAACAAAATAGAGATCAAATCATTAAGACTTTTGATGTTCGTATTCAAATAACTATACTTACATGATGTACAGTGTCAAGAGTAATTTCGTCTTCTGGCTGATCATTTATATAATAAATATTATCTTTCGATGCAATGCCACATCGTACGAATCGATTTCCAAAATTAGAGTGATAGACAGGTTTAATAAATGGTATTGTAAAAATTGATATCTTATCTATTTCATATGTCTCAATAGTTTGATCACAAACAGTAAACCAACGTTTTTCATTGAGCCAGAATGAATCTCGAAATGGTGCTATTATCATATCAAGACGAACGGGATCATTCTCTGAAAATTTATAGGGAATGAAGAATTGGAATTTTTTAAGAAAACTCAGTTCCATTCGAACAAATTTTTCCCATTCATAAATCTCCATGAGAGATTTGAACATGTCTGGATAATAAGTTAATTTGAGTTCACAAAGTTTTGGTGTTTGTAAAACTAATGATCTAAGATGCTCTATCGATAATGAACAATATTGAATGCTTAGACATGTTAATTGTGAATTAAACGATGGTACATGCATAGAATTATTATACGTAAAAAAATTCATCACTTGAAATGTTTCTAAATATGGTAATTGATGAAGGAGAGATGCATATTGATTGTAGAAACAATAACCTATTGATAAAAATTTTAATTTACATTGTTTGGGCCACAACATTTCTTCAGCTTTATAACGCAAGTTTTTCCAACATAATTTTTGAATACTTGATTTTTCAAGAAATAATGAAACAGCTTCAAATGTTGTATTGCTTGGTTCATGATTTGAATCGATTGTGAGTGAAACTAATTTAATGTTATTTGCTTTTATAAATAAAGATTGTAAACTTGTATCATCAATGAAGCGAAGAGTCAGATGACAAAGTCGTTTGCATTGAAGCAATGCAGAAATAAAAGTTTCTTTCTGATCTTCTGAACGAGCAGTCCACCAAGTCGTTAATGACACTACACGATTATATAAAACGTGATGAGGAATGCTTCGTTCATTTGTTATATATTTGTGAATATCAAGCTTAAGATGAAGTCGATGATATTGATTCACAATAGAGTGAAGCTTTTTACAAACACCACTGATCTTACATAGAATTGTTTGAGCATCACAGAAATCAAAAATATGGTGAAGTAATTCCACAGGAAGATTGAGTAAATATGATTCTTCCATTAAAGTGTACTGACCAATTTATGTAAAGTAATAATCTATGTCAACAGATTAAATGAACAATAAAATACTTTTAATTAGACAATATAAATATGTAATCGATGTGCAGAGTTCTGCTGCTTAGATGATGCATTTTTACTAGCAGAGATATCTAATACTGCTCGCAAAATTCTTTTATACAACTTTACTCACCCTCACGATTTCGAATAGATAAAAAGAAACTAAAAGTAAATTTATTATTCCTAATATCAACAAAGAGCGCTGTAAAGAGCCATAAAATATAAAAACTATCAAAGCATCTGACGGGAAAAAATTCAAAGATAAAGAAAAAGAAAAAGAAAAAAAGAGCTTTAGTAGTGCTGTAAATGATGACAGATTTGTTTGCATCATAAGAATGTTTGTAAAAAATAAACTTATTATTGTTAATGGATTATAAATAATTCACCATGGTAAAGTAGTATAAAACAGACTAATTCAAACGGGAAAAAGCGGATCTTCATGAATTGAGAGTATGAGTGCCTGAGTGAGTGTGGGTGTAGCTGAGAGTGAGAGGATAAAAAATTACACACAACCATACTCACATTATCATTGTTGATGTATTATTTCATGTTATTGCATCATTACCTGTATCATACAACAAAACAGCACGACTGATAACGTGAGTCAACTTTCTTGGTAACTTCCAAATGCAAAAGATTTTTCTCGTATAAAAGAGAACGTCTGTGTGCGATAAAGAGCCTTGTTAAAAATCAGTTAACAGTAATGCGATGGTTGTGCTGTCTCCTCTCTCTTTCCATGCTTACTATCACTAACGTCTTCGCGCATCTTGAGAGTGTGAATGTGGGTGTGGGTGTGAGTACCATGTATATGATACACCCACATTCACATCCATACCCATACATACTCTCAATGTCTGATGCGTCAAAAAATCTCTTATTATTTGAAAAAGTCTGTTAGAATGTCGAAATCACAATATTTTGACAAGTATCTCAAAGCAGGATCTCTGTAAAACAGAGTATTAGAAAGATTTTTTTATTAAATAATGATCTTGACAATACAAAACGTAATAATCATCCAAAATTTCGGTTAGAAACTTGATGAGAAGCTTTCAAAACACAATGTCAGTTATGATTGATATTTTATTTTAAGACTTCTGTCCTCCATATAAACGTTCACATGCATCAACAAACGTGATGAAATCGACTGTTTGCAATTGTTTTCCATCGAATTTTTTCGAGTAATTTGATGAAACTTGTGCATATTCATGTCGATAGAATTGTTTTAAATGTTGAGCATAGTGAAGCAATGCTGTACCTGTCAGTAAATGATTCCCAATAAGTGTGAATAAATCTTGATGAATATGATTCTCATCGAACCATTTTTGTATATCATTCTTTGTCCAATCTTTCACCGAGTTTTTTTCTTCTTGTTTAACTATATTCTGAATTGTTGGTTTGACAGGTAAAACTAATTTTTTCTCAACATGTACAACGGAAAGCAATTCATTAGCAGCATCTTTGAATGATTTTCTTCCAAAATGAATATATTTTTGTCCAGCAATTCGAATACCTAACCAACCATTTGGTTGATATTGTTGATTAGGAGCATATATTGGTAGAATACGTTTTCCCAAAGTATCACATGCATAGGATAATTCTTGTCGACATGATTTTGACGCATAATATTCTTTTGAAATAATCAAAACAATTACGTTGGCTTTTTCCATTCCGTTGGCAATTTCTTCCCATACATTTTCGGATTTTATTTGTTTATAATCGACCCAAATCGAAAGATATTGTGATAAATGTTCTACAAGTTCATGACAAAACATTTTGTCTATATGTGAATAACTAATCATAATCAATGGTTCTTGTTGATCTTGATAAATTTTCTCTTTTAACAAAGGTAAACGTAATGATTCTAAATTCCATAAAATTCCTTCTGCGGCTTTTTTCAATGAACTTAAATCTAATGGAACAGAATCAATTCGTGTACTTGTATATAATGACGATGATGTTGATAAATTCGATAATACGATCATAAGTTTTGTATGTGATTGAAATTTTTCATGTGAAAATTGATGAAATGAAATACTCCAAAAAAGATTTGTTAATGTAATTAAAATTTCATCTTGTACCCATTGAATATTCAATGGGATTTCAGATGTAAATCGAATTAATAATTGTGACAAACAATCAAATAATTGATTACTTTCTTTTAAACATTTCTTCAAAATCTCATCATTAACAAATAATTTACTTAAAACAACAAGACCTTCAGTTATATGAAAACATTGATAGATCAACGAATCAGATTGAGATGCATGTAATATTACTGAAATTAATTGTTCAAGAATATGACACATGAATTGATCAGCAAGAAGAGAATTTTGTTTAATTTCATCAGATTCGATAAGTAAAGCATAAGTTATTGATTGAATAAAATCAATAGTTGAATATTCTTTTTCATTATGATCTTTCTTCATTTGTTCTTTACTTTCAATTAATGATTTAACACAATTTAATTCATTCAAAACTTCAACAGCTGTTGCACATCGAGCTAATTTCTGTAAAATATAACAAATATGAAGATCTGTATTGAATGATGGTCGTTGACCCGATGTTGTTAACCATTGAATACATGCATGAGGCCATTGATGACGAATAATGATTGGAACTAATAAAGGTTTTTTACTAAAGATTTTGATTAATGTTAAAATGTAATTGACAAGTTCAGCTTTTTCATCGGATTTCCAATTCTTTTTTGTAAATTCTAATGAATAGAGAAAAAAATTTGATGGCAGATTTGCTTCAGTTATTGGGATAAAAAGACATGAAAAACCAGTAATTGCCAATAAACAAGTCACAAGATGACCATATTGATTATTATCATCACGGAAATAATCTTCTTTGAGAAGAGATATGTAATTTTGAAAGATAGTTTTCAAATGTGATGGATCTTTAACAGAATAAAATAAATCTGTTAGCAAAACTCCACGACATGCATTCTGTAATGTTTCGAGAAATAAATTTGTTGCATGTGATTCAGCATTTTTATTTGATAATTTCTTTTCAAATATTGGAATTATTCGATAGAAATTATCGATCAATGAAAGAGCAAATGGTTTATCTTCGAGTAATCCATTCGGAGTGGCAGATTTTAAACGAAGAAATAGACGTTGAACTATTTCAATATAAACATTTTCGGATTGAGATAAAGATAAACTTTTCAAATCATTTACAAAATCATTCGTTGCCATTTGACAAGAAATGATTTTCTTACTCATTTCTTCTTTTCAAAGGCTATGTACGTCAATTTTATTCTTTTCTTAATCGTTGCATTTTAAGAACAATTTATTCTTTTATTCTACCAAATGAATAATCTCGTTTTTTACTTATTCAATATATAATTGTGTACTAACATGCAAAGGTAAAATCAAATTATTGTCAATATTAATTACACAATATCAATAATAAGACTAACTCATTTCGGACTTAATCTTGAGGGCGACAGGGTGGGTGTGGGTGTGAATATTAAGTTAATCAGACTCACTCGCACGCATCTACGCTCACATCCACACCCGAGATAAATAATAAAAATTCCTTTGATTTACTTTATTTATCGATGTAAAATGATAAAACCATCTTCCTCAAACAAACATTGCACACTTTTTAAAAGAAACAAAAAATAAAACTCTCTTATAATGTATTGATTTCACCCATGATATTGATACGTCGATTTTGACATTTTTTCACTGAAATTTCTTTTGCAACCTAAAACAATTTTATAGAATTTATTTGATCAATTACGAAAAACAAAAAACTATATTTTACCTGTTCTTTTAATTGTTTTGTATATGAAATTAATATATTTAATTTTTCTTTCAATTGTTGTTCTTCTTTTGATGAATTTGTTGCTTTTTCTTCTAATTCTTTCTGTTGTAAACGATTTCGTTCAATAGCAATTTTCTTTTGTTGAAAACAATTTATAAGACGATCAACAAATTTATATGAATCACGCATTGAAAATAATCGATCTAATTGTCGATGAGCAATCGATGTAAATATTGAATCAACATTTTTCAGAAATGTTTTTAAATCTTAAATATTAATTTAGAAAATAATTATCTTTTCAAATATATTTCTATTACCATTTTCATTGATTTTTTGTATTGATGATGGAGCATTTTGCATAATAAATGTCATAAGAATAGTTTCATTGACATGATATTCATTGAGACGTTGTTTTAAAAATGATTGAAGCTAAAAGAAAGAAAGAAATGAATTAATTTCAATATTTTAAACTAACTCGATGAAGTTCTTGAATAAATGTTGTATATGTTGCACGATTTTCCAATAATGTTAATGCATCATTACCACGTGCAATACCATCATCAACTATGACATAGAGAAAGATAAAAAACTAGGATATTCAAATAAAATACTTGGATGAGTTGATCCATTGAGAGCAGCTTCTCGTAGAGCATCAGGAATAGAATTCGGATGAGTACCATTAGATGAAAGAGCTGGATCAAGTAATTCAGGTACTGTATCAATTCCAGACCAATCAATTTCTGTTTCCTAAATAAAGAAATAAATAGCTAAATATAAGACTATTGACAAATGTAAATTTGTATACAATATCAAAATCAATAACATCTGCTTGATTTGCTGCTTGTTTAATTTCAATTCCTTCAGTTGATGTTGTTAAATCATCATCAAATCCCAGAATAATATCTGGTTCTGTTTCATCAATTTCAGCTGCTTCTGCAAATTTATAATTTAATGGTGGTCGTTCAATACTAACAGGTACATGACCATTCGTTCTCCATTGATAAACAGTTGTATTTCCATTATCAATTAAATATTTAATAATTGGTAAAAATTCTTCATCATTCGATTTTAAAGATGAATGAAAATGTTTCATAAATTCTAAATAAAATTCAACAGCTGATTTTAATGATGGAATGGAATTTTTCTCTCCATTTGCTAATTCTGTACATATATTTGGTAAATATTCAATACGTTCAATTAATTCTCGTTGAACATTATCACCCTAAATTATTAAATTTAAGATTACGCGAAACAATTAAATAAAATAATAAACAAACTTTAATTGACATATCGGTGCATAATTGTGCATATTGTTTTTCAATTTCATGAATAGTTTTATCTAATTCAGCATGACGTGTATGACATTCGTCTCGAATTTGTTGACATTTACCAATATGTTTTTTTAATGCAGGGATTTCAAAAGCAACATTTCGTTGAAGAATTTGACCGGATTCAACTATAAATATATATTATCGTTTTTTCAATATTGGAAAATGAAAAATAGACAAACCGAGATAAATAGAATTTTTTTCATAATTAGAAATAATTGTTCTCCAATCCTAAATATTATATTTAGATACAAAAAAAGAATGATCTATTAAATTACTTTCATTCGTTGTGATGAATACATGCCAAACATATTTTTACTTTCTTTCTCTGTTTCTTTTAATATTTCAACAATTTTCAAACAACAAAAATAATCCAAATCTATTCAATAAAAAAGAATTTATTCAAATCAAAAAGATAGGTTCTTTCATACAAGAAGAACCGAGTAATCTTTTTATTTCATCATGTTCAGGCATATCTAAAATAGCTTGTTGAACTTTCGCTCGAATTGCCACTGATCGTTCATTCCAATCTTTTGAACAATGACGACGATCAACTAACCAATCTATTAAACAATTAAATTTATTATTAAATTTAAAAAAAGAAGATTGATTGACTAACCAACAAGTTTGGTAAGATGAATATCAATCGTACTATCGTCAATAGTCATTATATTAGATCTGAAAATTTAAAAAAAAAAGTGAATGAATTGTTTCTTTTTAAATTTATAATTGAAAAAAAGACAAGGATGTATCATCCATTAGTTTTTTGTTGTTGTTGTTTTGGTTATTAAACGAAAATTTCGTGAAAAAAAGAAAAACAAACTAAAATAGAAGATAAGTTGAAGGATATTTAGCAATAATTAAACGTTCTTGATAGGCAATTAAATATTTCATATTCATTGCTTGATAAAGCTAAGAAAAAATAAATAAAAATAAATCAAAAATAATCAAATAAATTCGATTTACTTGAAGTAATTTATTATCATATTCTTGTTGTTGTGATGAAGATTTTTCTTCAATTTGTTTTAAAAGTATTTTCCAAACACGACCATAAGATTTTTTCATTAAATTATATTTATAATGAAGATTCGATAATTTTCCATCATTAATATCGATATGTTTTTGTAAAATTTTAAAAATATTTAATAAATATGTTGATGTTTCATCATTTATATTTGATAAATCACATAATAACATTCCTAATGAGATATAAATATCAATAAACCAATTTCGACGTTTTTCCATATCACTAAAATGAAAATTAATTCTTTTACTTTTTATTTATTATTAATTCATACGTTTTAATGAGTTGATTTTCTTTATCAGTTGATGATGAATTTTTTTGACCAAAAAATTTTAAAATTAAATCTTCATCAAATAAAGTTAAAAGTTTATCTTGAATAAATTTAATAATTTCATTAATTTTGTCATCTTTTTTTTCATTTGTTAATTGTTTTAATTGATTTTCAAGTTGTTGAAGACGAGCAAGATGTGATGGAACATGATTATTTAAATCTTGTTGTTCACTTATTAATTCTTCATATAATTTGCCTTGATCATCCGTTAATCTATATATAAGAACAAAGAAAAACAATGGAAAACAAACTAATTGAATTACTTGGGTATCCAAGAAATTTTTAAATCTCTTAATGCTTCTTGATATTGTTGATCTTTTTGTGATGAATTATTTGTTGTTCCTTCTTCAGTTGTTGTTGTTGTTATCACAGGTGAACTTACTTGTTTTTTACTACTACCAGTAACACTAGTTGATGAAGATTTCTTCGAAGAACTTGATGATGTTGAACTAGGTTCAGTAAAATATTGATAAATTGTATTCATTTCCTATGAAAAAAAATATTTTCATTTATTTCTTTAAATTAAATTAAAAAAATATTCAAACCAATTTTTTCATTTTTTCGTTTTTAGGAAATGTCATTGTGCCTCGTAGAAATGTTCCAGCTATTGAACTAATTACTTTTGGAAGTCTAAAAACAAAAAAAATGTAATTTTTCAATAAAATAAAATTGAACATACTTGTCTTCTGGTACAGTTGTCATAAAAATAGGTAATGGTTGTCCCCATTGTAATTTAATAGTTGATGCTTGAATTTTTTTCTTTTGTGTATGTAAACCATCTAATGAATAATAAAAATCAGGTGCGGGTAATCCAGTAACTTTATGTTCAATATGTAAAGATAAACCAGTTCCACCATTATCTTTTAATAAACGTTCTAATAAATCATATTTATCATGTCGAATATTCATTCGAATGATAAAATCACCTTTTTCTAATTTTAATGAATACTAAAAAATAATAACAGATTAAAATAAAATTGACATAAAAATTCTTTTCTTACATCTTTCATCACATCACCTGAACCTAAATATTGTTTATTTGTATCAAAACACATCCATAAAGCACCTTCATATTCATTATCATAAAGTAATTCATGTAAATATGGACATTTTATTTGAATTTCTGAAGCTTTTAACTAAAAAAACATTTTCATTTTTAAAAATAATTCAAATGAAATTCTTACTAATGTAAAATTAAAAACTAATAAAAGTTGATAAATTTGTCTTTGATCAGTTAAACAATCTCGTTTCGATAAAATTTGTATTTTACTTTCATCTTTATTTGGTCTTAATGTTTGTACAAGAAATTTCCAATTAATAGTAGGTAAACCATTGATATTTTCATATGTATTTATTAAACGATTTTCTAAAACAAATCGTTCATATGATTGACTACTACGTAAATGTAATGAGATTGAAGGTGAAATAAGTATTGAATGAAATTTAATTGAATAACTCGTATCCATAATAGATAAACTTGACCACCATCGTGCTAAACATAATTCTAATGTTCGTTTATCTTGAACATTAAAATAACATTGAAATATTGCATTCGGTGATAAACGAATTATTTTTTCAAATTCATTTGTACGAAATGAACGACCTGATTCAAGTTGAATAAAATGTAAATTCATTAGAGAAGAGATATCACAAGAATGATTTGTTATTTTAAATACTGTTAAATAGGAAATAGAAAAATATTTTTCAAATAAATATTAAGACAAACCAGCAATATTTGAGCCAGTTGGAACTTGAAGAAAATGTCGACGTATTTGACTAGGTTTAAATGTTTGAGAATTAAATTCAAGAGAATTTGTTTGAGAATTTACACTTGAAAATACAAAATAAAACAAATATTTCAATAATGAATTTATTGAAATATTTTTACCTAATTGGTTTTATAATTGTTATTGGAAAACGAGCTAATGGTCCTGCATTGATTTGATTCGTATCAAATGCTTGTAATTCTGTAAAATGAACTTCATCTTCTTTTAAATGTGATGGATCAATTCTGATATCAAATGTTCGATCTGCATAAGATAAATCAAGAAATTTGGCATGTTGAACATAACTAACTGGTGGATCACAAATAAATGATAAACGACAAGCAAATTTGATTTTTACTTCTTGATCTAAATTAATAGTTTTATATAAATAAAATCTTTTTCTTTTTTTGTTGTGTATGTTACCATCATAAGTAACTAATTGATTCGGTTTTTTTGATAAATATTTCGTTTTAACTGTTAAACGTATATCACCCGAACTTGTTTGAACTTGATCAAAATCTCGTAAATAAACTCCACGTCCTTGTCCACCTGTAATATCTAATTGTATTTTTGATATTAATGATGGTTTAGCTAATGAACGAATATAATCTAAAGCTTTATGAATTTGTAGAAGACCAGCACCAACAGAAAATTCATCTTCTATTTTCTGTGCTGTATTCATTAATGCACGACGAATTAATGATGGATTATACTCAATTTCTTCTTGTTTTAATGCACTTACCAAAAGAGCTAAACAAATTTATAAGTCATAAAAACTAAGAAAAAAATTAATTTTACCAACACAGCCAGCAGCATTTGGTGATGCCATTGATGTTCCATTCATTAATTGTCTTTGAGATAAACAAAATTGTGGTACACTAATGGAAAAGAAATTTTGATAAAAAAAATTTCTTTTGTAAACATTATATCAAACCTTGTAATAGCAGCACCAGGTGCACTAATACATACACCTAACCATCCATCACTACATGGACCACGTGATGACCAAGTAAATGATGTTGTACAACCTGTAGATTCTCTTAATGCATATTCTGCTAATTGCATTTCAGGTGTTACATAAGCACCAACACCTTCAGTTGAAGAAACAAAAAATTAAATTTATCTTATCTAATTCAAAAAAACTAATTAATCTACCAATGAGATTTGTACATGTTGCACCAGGTGCACCTGTTGTACTTAATGCTGGACCATTATTTCCAGCTGATGAAACAAATATTATTCCATGTTTTTCAACAGCTTCATTAAATAATTCTTGAACTCGTCTATAATATAGATAGAAGAATTTTCTTTTAAATTCATTTGTATATAAGTTCTTACCCAGAATTAGGAATCTGACAATCTTCTCCATAACTTAAATTTATTATATCAACTTTATAATCAATACAATATTTTATCTAATTAAATAATATAAAAATTGTCTCAAATAAAATAAATTTATTAAACATACAGCTCGAACTAGAGATGGAACTGTTTCCATAGTTGATAAACGATGATCACCTATACTAATTGATAAAAGTTGTGCACCAGGTGCAATTCCATTTTCTTCACAAGAATCGCCGAAATAAGCAGCAGATATTGCACCAACATGAGTTCCATGAGAACCTATATACATAATACATTTTTCAAATCTTTTATTTATTAGATAATCATTTTAAGCGAATATAATTGGCGTCAAACATATTAGATGACACATTAATTTTATAATCAATTGTTTTTTTCTCCATTATATTCAATGAAATGCAAAATCAAGAAGAGCTCATTGTTTGGAACGAAGTTGTTAAGGTTATTTGATTTCATTTACTCATTTTAAACCGTTAAAGAATGTAACATACAGGCTTTTTTCTGAGTAATAAGCAAGGGTCTAGATAATTCAGAAACACACAGAGTATTACACATATTTGCATTAAGAATTGTTAGTTTAGAGTATCTGTCACACTTGTTCATATGAGATAAAGGAAATATTAGGCAAGAACATTATTTTGTCAAAATCCCAGAATGTACAATTGAAGATTAAATCTCTCTTAAAAGTGTAGATAGAACAAACCAGGTTTTATTTATTGAATCATCACAATTTGTCTTAAACTTCTACAATTAATAATCGATTATAAGAATTATATATGAATCAGTGAAATATTCTATTTTCTATATTATTTAGTACAGCATAGGAAATGATATTTGACATTTTTCATAGAAATGAAAATAATAACTAACCTCCAGCTACGACAATTTCAAGAATATTAATTTCATGATGTATTTGTACGGAATAAGTAACCATATCTAAATAAAAAACAAAGAAATAAATTCTTTTTTTTCATTTATTTAATTTTCTTCTAACCTATGGCACTAAATGTTGCAAATTCATGAGAATCAAAATAATTTGTTAAACATTTACATTTATCTAATTCACCTTGTTCAGTTGTATCAATACATGCACTAGAAGAAAAGAATTGTTTTTATTTATATTTATTATTAAATAATACGAACATCCATTTATCTCCATCATTCCAAACAATACAATCAAGAAATGGACCAGGATCATTGTATTTCTTTTCTACTTCTTTTAAAGCATCAACAAATGATTGAAATTCTTCGCGAATTATTTTTTGTTCCTAAAAAAGAATTGAAATTTTCTTCGAAATAGAAAAAAGAAATGTAATACTTCGTTTGGTGTTGGAAATTTATTAGTATGTTCATCTAGACGGCGTTGAGCTTCAGCTAAAGCAAGACGATGTTCAGGATCAAATAGTTTTTCACGACGTTCTTTCTAAAAAATTAGTTTTAAATTAAATTATTTAGTTTTTAAAATTATTTTCTTTACGGAAAGACGATCAAAAGCAGAATTTGGTATTAATTGTTTTAATGATTTTATTCCAATCTGATAATTTCCTGATGGATTTTTCCAACTTGATGGAATCTTTAAATCAAAAATAAATTCATATTTATTTTGAAAAATTTATTTTCGTATTACTTTTAATTTTCTTCCTGATAAACCTTGAATTGAGTCATCATCTTTATTATTCGTTGATGTTATTTTAACAATGGTTGAAATATCCACATCACCACTACCTGTACTATCACGTAAATCAATTAATTTTACTTCTCCTGTACTTGTTTTCTAAAATAAATTCTTGTTTTATATAGAATAGAAAAAAAGAGAATTCAAATAAATACTTGAAGACCATTTGCTAGCGGATCAATGCCAGTATCAAGAATAGCAATTGTGACTTGACGTCCATCATATTGAGGATGTTTTGTTAATAATTGTAATGCACCAGTAGGTTGTTTAGGTAAACATCCACCAATGGGAAAATGAGTATCAATTGCAACTGATGATATATTCATATCTACAATTATAAATAAATTCTATTCTATTTATATCACAATTCACATAAGATTTTAGTTCAGTTTGAAATGCACGAAAACAAATACTTACATATACATTTTTTTATTATGTGTATGTTTCTAAGACATAGAGCTGAAAAGTTTGGATTACATCACTAAAGTATCGCTAGAGGGAATGTGTTAGATGTTCAGTAAGTTTTATTATATAAAAAAACCTAAATGAAGGTTTTACGAAAACTATCACACTTCAAGTCTTATTTCTCAGGAAGTATTTATTTAGCTGATGTTCTTTCATAGTAAAATAGTGCTCTTCGTCTGATTAGAATGAATATATATGAATTCATGTTATATTTCAGTGATAACAGAAATAAAACTAGATTGAGGGTGTATGAAAATCATATTCTATGTTAATAATTCTTTCTTATTAAAATATTTCAGTGTTGATGATTTTAATAATATAAAAACTATTCTAGACTCAATTAGATTTTAGAATCACCTACCACAGATATAATACACATACAGAATGACATTAGAGAACATTAAGTTACGCTTTAAATCTGATAACGGTGTGAAAAAAGAAGACACTATGACAAGAAACTGTACATAACAATGATTTTCTTTGTATGAAACAATGAGAATAAAAAAGTAATATTAATGATCTTTGTAGAACTCATTAAGTTTTTAAGATGTATAATAATAGAAAAAGCCAGTAAATGAAGATGTTTTGTTCATAACTATATTTTAAAGAGTAAAAATAAAGATATCTATTAGATTTCATATTGAAAGAGTATGAAATCAATATGTTCTACAATCTATAAGAAAACGAGTGCAAACTTCGTCAAATATATCCAATAGATGTATCATTCAAGATAAATAAAATATGAAAAAAGGTTTTAAAATAATAAAAAAAACAGAGAACGGGAGACATGTTTTATTTTCTTAATCATTATCTTATCGATGTTATACAGATTAAAGAACAAATATAAAACAGAAAAGAGCGTATGTATACAAAGGACAGACAAAATGAAGCGAAGAAGAAAAAAAAATAGTAATGATCAGCATATATATATTTTCATATTTCAACGTAAGCAGAATACTTTTTTCGTACAATGGCTGAAAGAACTTTGCTTTTTTTTTTAAATAATAAATCATATTCATTGATATGATGTATATTTCTATGAACTTAAATAAATATAAATGAAAAAGAAAAGAAATGAAAAGAATAAGTAGGGGAATGCACTGACACGAACCGGTCTTTAGTCTCTTTTTTTTTGTTTTGTTTTTTAGAATCAATTTTATGATGCCCATTCAGCTAATTCAGCCAATGGATCTTTCTTTGCTTTGCCTGCTGTAGCAGCTGCAGGTTGTGCATACGTGTGTGAAGAAACCGGAACTTGTGGTAAATTAATTTGAGCCATTTCTTGTGATAAAGCTTCTTGTTCTAATTGGGCTAATTCATTTTCCAATTCAAATTCATCAATTTCAGCACCAAAACCTATGAAAATAATTTCATTTTAAATAATTTTTTTTTTTGATATTCTAAACATACCAACAGGACTTGAAATAGCATTAGCAATTTCATTTGATAATTCATGTTGATCCGCTAATTCATCCATTATATCTTGAACACTATCAACATCAAGTTCTTTATGAACATTTTTCAAAGCACTTGTTGCACTTTTAAGTGCATTAAATGCTTGACCATTCATTGATGCATTCTAAATAAAACTAATTCTTATTGATCTATTTTCTTCTAAATTTACTTGTAAAGCTTCACGTTGATATTCAAGTGTTGTTAAAGTTCCATCAATTTGTTGTAAAGTTTTCTCTAAACGTTTCTTTCTTTTAAGTGCATTTAAAGCGTTTCGTTTATTTGTTCGTGCATCACGACGAGCTATAGCTGTTTCTTCGTTAATTTTTGCTTCTAAATGTTCAACTTTTTTATTTAAAACATCTTCAACATCACGTAACTGTTGTATAGCTTCTTGCGGTGTTTGAGCTACTTTGGTTTTAGCACCACCTTTTGATGAACCACCAAATACACGGGATAAAACACCACCTTTGTTACCACTCATTATTTTTACTAATTTTAATAGAAATAAACAAATATCTAAAATGAAAATGATTGAGAGAAGTATTTGATATTGATAACAATATTTGCATAGAGAATTATGTAGGAAGAAAATACGTTCGAGTTCTTTCATCATGATTGTAATCTAACATCAGTCATAAGATTGAATAGATGAATTATTCAACAAACAATAATAAACAATCAGTCAACAACCAAGTTAACTATTGAGAAGAAAAAAATATCGTCATCAGACAACATACGGACTTTTTTTATGACTAACTAGGTACTTTTTTTATTGGTACAATCTGTTTATTAAAAAAGATGTCACTCGAATACAAAATATTTTATGACGATTTATTTATTGATATATCTTTCTTACGAGAGAGAAAATATATACATCACGTGTGAATGAACAATTACAAAAATCTAGTAACATTGACCATGTTATGAACTAATCAACCATGCTATTTTAAATATAATATATTGATAGGAAGAGAAACAATCGGATATGGTTTTGATTATCACACAAAATCAATGCAATGTTAAATCGAATGGATGTATAAATCTATCGTTAGAATAGATAAATCATCCTTTTATTTCAAAAAAATTTCGATTATCGTATATCATTATTAAGCAAATAAATATACAATAGAAAATACAAAGTTTTGTAATAATAAAAAATGAAGATTTAAAGACGCATAACTAACGTCTTTTTTAAAGAAGATCACACATCAGAGAAAAAAACACTTCATGAGAATATTTTCTTTAATATATGTAATGATTATAAATAGAAAAGAACATATTTTATCATAACATAGAAACATTTTCCGTAGTGTTGTTTCAACTCAGTATAACGCGATAAATTTATTGTATCATATGAGTTCTTCGAGATTGGTTCTCATGTTGCTGATGAAAATGCTTAAATGAACAGGAAATCATCAGTTGAATACACCGAGCAGTATCTATGTTTCGAATATGACTGGAGCTACCTATATTGCTGATTACTATAATCACTGAATATAATGTTGCAATTCTTGTGGTACAAGTTCAACGTTATTTACTATGCCAGTAGATCTTTTTCTAAATCCTAATGAAACTTATCTCTGTGTGTAATTCTTTTAATGTTGTTATTTTTCTAAATATACTCCTTTTGTCCGTAAAAATCTTTATTTTATAGAATTGCTTATAAATCAATGGAAATGAATAAAATGTCCTATAAAATGAAACGTTAATATTATAATAAAAAAGAATCGTAGATTAAATTTATATTTAAATATTTTTCATGTCTAATAATAATAGGCAAGTCAGAACATTCATAAAAAATTAGCGTAATTATGGGATAAAATAACGCCCTTCATCTATAAAAAAAACGACGTAGAAAAAGAGAACGATCTTTATGCGAACTTTGATTACCACCTTTATAAACAACGTATGAGCGTCATATTTTTTTACTTTTCTTTCTTTTTTCCACCTATATTTTGTCTTGTTTTTTTCTCGTAACCCCTTTTACATTTAATAAATAATATGTTTTATTTTTTAAAAATTTAGATATACTTGTGTTTTTTTTAAACGGACAATGGATAGTAATTCAACATCTGATGTTAAACTTGATCAAGATACGACGAGAAATCGTTCATTTTCGGAATCATTTCATAATTTCGCACAAGCTGTAAGTTATTTAGACTTAAAATTAAAAAAAAAGTATTTTTATTTAATATTATAGGTTCATCATAAAGTTTGGGGTGATACTAAATGGGCCCAATCAGTAAGTAAATAAAAATATTCAATTCTCTATTTTGATTAAGATATTTTTTCTTACAAGTTTCACGATAAAGTTTGGGGTTCGAACGACAATGAACATGGTAAAAGTGAATCTGACCTAAATAAAAATTAATCAATGAACTGTTCATATAAAAATGACAATTTGTAATTTTAATTGTACTTCTATTAAATATGCTTAAAACTATTTCTATATATTATAATCAAGCGAATTAAAATTCAAAATAAATTCAATGTTTGTAATATGAATATTATCTCATAGTCCTTGATTATGCTTATTGCCCGGAATCTAGACGCACAGTTTTGATCTTTTTTAACTGAACATTTCTCGAGAAACTCTATTTGAATTCAATGCATTTCCTTGAATGATCTATTGATTGATAAGTTATGATGAAAAAGCTAAATATTTGAAAACAGTATAAAACCATCATTACAATGGTTTATAGCAGAAGATTTTAATGTATATTCGTTCGAAATAATAACAAACAAAAACAAAAAAAGAAAAGAAGAAATTTCAATTAATTTTCATCATCTTGTTCAATCATTTCTTCATCAATCTCTTCTGCTTGTTCTTGATCATCATCATTACCATCCTCTTCTTCATGTAAATCAAAAACTTTAACTTGTTCACTATTTTTATCCCAATGAGCTTTAACTTTGATTTTAAATTGTGCCAATGGATGTTGAAATAATTTTAATAATTTCGCTTGTTCAGGTGTTAATGTATCACCTTTTTTACAAATAGTAAATGGTTGAAGTAAATGAATAATACCTTTTTTTAATGTTGTCATTAAACCTAATGATCTTAATAAAGGTTCCATTGTATGTTGAAAACCATCTAATGATCCTTCATCAATAGAAACAGTTTCTTTAACTTGATTTCCAGCTCTTGCAAAATCTTCCATTTCTAATTTATTAAAATATTCTAAAATTTCTTGTGGTTTTCGATTTGTTAACATTATACCCATTTTTCCAACAAGATAAGGAGATATTTTTGATAATGATGGTAAATATTCAGTTGCTGGTGTACGTCCTAAAGCAAGTTGCATAACACGATTTTTTCCAAAGAAAAAATATGAAGATTCAGATGGTGGAAAATGTGCACGAACTGTTTGTAATTTATCTGTACGTTCATTATAAAGACGAACAACAAATAAATGTGAACAATCATCAAGACGTGTACGAATTTTTTTAACTAATTCTTGTTTTAATTCTAAACCACGATTTGTTTTTAATTTCTTAGATGATTTTGCGATTGTTATACGTTGTGCTCGTTTAGATTTAGGCATGATGATCTATTAAAAACACATAGAAATATTTATGTTAAATTCATTAAAACATAAAACTACGAAAAAAAATAAATGTGATGTTTGATCGGATAGAAGACGAAAACAAGCCTCTATGGAAGTCCAATCATTTTTATTGGTTAATTCTATTTTCCAATCATATCTTATAGAATAGTTTACTCTATACTTATTTCATTGAGATATTAGCGGGAGAATCATTTTAGATTATGAGTATATAAGATAATCAATAAAAACAAAATTAAATATATGACCGATTTTATTAAGTATACAAAAATATACAACTATCTATTTCTTCTGTAAGATTGAAGAAATCCGAGGTTATCAAATATTGCTTCGGTTAAATATAATGTCTGGTAAAAATAGTTTTATGAAGTTAGGTTCTCTTGAAATAGAATTTATATCAGAAAGAAAACATTACTAAACTTGGAATTATTAAGTAGTGGCGCTATCTCTCATCCACTACCTCCTTTTTTTCTTCTCTGTTCTTCTCGATTGGTCATCTGTATCAGTCACTTTCTAGTTCTAGTACTTCTGAGGCGAAGCAAAGATAAATCAAGAGCAAATTAGTTTATAGACTAACAGAAATCTCACGGTTATAACTTAAATAAAAGATTCTAAATTTAGTTTTTAATAATAAATCTTTATTTTCTAAAAGAATGTGTATCCATTTAACATCAAAGTATGTTCAGCTTAAAATCGGATGTATATAAATTGACTAAAGAATAATATTTAGATCTTTCTATTATCAAAAAAAAGACTTGAAGTATTTCTTTTCACAATTTATTCTAAAGATCAATTAATAATACAATGATTTAATAATAAAGAAAATATAATAGGAAAATAAATCAAAAGAAAAATAATAGATTTTCTTTCATCAGTATTTCTCTTCGTCTAATCACAACACAAATAATAAGAAAAAAAAATAGGGGAATTTATTTATTAATTTGTTTTCTATCAAAAGCACCTAGAGAGAGAATGATAAAATGTATAGTTTATCAATATTTATATTGAAAGTCAACACGTAAAAGATATTTCATATTGATTTGATCAGTATTATAGACAATATATTCGTTATATAATAATGAAGTATTTCGAGCATTTGATGCAACACCATTACCCATTGGAATAAGTATACCATCATTTGTGTAATGATAATCTATTGAATAAAAACATCTAAGAAATCATTTTCTTTTTTAAAGAAATATTACCTTTTGGATCTGGCATTGTTGATCCACAACCTTTTGTCGAATGTGTACCATGTGGTAAAGTTGATGCTGACATATTTGTTGCTTTAAGACATTCAAACATTTTTCCAAGTGCAACTTCACATAAAAGCATTAAACCTTGGGGTGATTGTTTTGTTGTAAAACAATAATTTGCTAAATTATTTTTTTGCTTCAAAATATAATTTAAATAAATTAAATAAATAACTTACCACTTTTTGAAACCATATCAGCAAAATAAACACCTTTACCAAACATATAACCAGTCTACAAATGAGAGAATATTAAAAAATAAAATATATATAATATAAAATAAACTTACAACAGGTGCTTCAGGTGGTGCAATACGTAAACCTTGACTAAGAATACCAGCAAAATTAGTTGTTCTTGATCCATGCCATAATAATTGATGATTATCAAGTGTTTGAAAATTTTTAAAACGATCATATTCACCTTCACGTGTTGTTTTAAATAATTCACATAATTTTAATGTAAATTGATCATGAGTTTTCGCATGAGTTTTAATCATATATTGTTCAATAAGTTTAAATTCTTCTGTATTATGTTCAACTGGTATAAGACCACATTTTAATTTTTTATAATGAGCATCTATTGGATGTTCACTATCTTCGATAGTATTATTTGATTCATCTAACATTGAATAAGCTATTTCAATTTCAAGTAAATTATCAATCATTTCAGTCTTGGTTTTTATTAAGTCAACATTATCAAGTAATGGTGGTTTAGCCAAACCAAAGTCATGTGGAATCACTAAAATTAATATTTGATTCGTCTGTATGAGATACAACTATAAATTGAATACTTACAAGTATAAAATCGATTACTAGCATCAACAATAGCTGTTTTTGATGTTGTAACTCCATTTGTAATTATTGTTTGTAATTCAGATAAAACTTTATAAGCTTTATCTAATTGATTTTTAGATAATTTTCCTAATGGCATTTTAGTTAAATCAATTTCAAATGATAATAAAGCTTGTTTCATAGTTTCAACATTAAAAATCATTTTAACAAGATCTTGAACTTGATTTGGTAATTTAGATTTTATATTTAAATTAGCATTTTCAAGTAATTTTTGCATTTTATCATTATCACCATGTTGTCCATAATCGATTTCAAGTGGATAATGTTTATTTGGTAATTTTTGAAAATTTTTTCGTTCACCCCATTCATTACCTGTTTTTTCAAGAAATAATTCATGAAATGCTTTTATAGCATCTGTTTTTCGACTATATTCATCAACTTTATTTCCACCATAAACTGTACCTGTTCGACCCGTAAAAAAACAGAGAGAAATAATATTATTAAAATAAATCCAAAATAAGAAAAAAAATACTTATCATGCTCGAAAAACAAACCATGGCCGACCATTATCTGATTCGAGTAATTGTAATTTATAATATGAATTTGTTCCTCGTGTTATATCAACAAGACCAAGAACACAAGCAAATATTTCATTAGATTCTGCATCTCTAAGAACATGACAAATATCTTCTAATCCTTTAAAAATAATAAAGTTTTATTTTTAAAGAAAAATAAATTTGTAATTAACCTGATTCTGGATCAACAGCAGCACCATCTTTTAATTTTAATTTCATTTTATCTGGTACAGATTTTTTTGATCGAGCTTAAATAAAAAAAATGAAATAGATTGGATTTAAATTGATTTAAAATTAAATTTACAATCAGATTTAGTTGATGCTGTTGTCAATGATTGTCGTCCTGATTTAAGTTTAGCTTCTTCATCTGCTTTTGTTTGTTGTCGAATATGTGGTAAAATACCCCATGTTGAAATTTTACATTTTTCCATTATTATTGATGGACGATCATTAATTATTTCTTTTAAAAATTCTTCCGAAACAATATGTATATTGGATGTTTGAGCATCTTGAAGTTTTTTACTCATTTTTTTAATTTCATCTTTGAAAAAAAAATAAAAAATAGAGCAAATATTAATATAAACAAGATATACCTTGAGAACTAATAACAATTCCAACAGTATCATCTATTTTTGATGAAAATGTTCCACCTAAACGTTCAACTTCTTTTTGTATATTTGCAACAGAACTTGATAAACGACCAGCTGATGACACAACATAACCAGAAAGTGGTAAGTTTGAATCATATATTGGTCTTAAAAACGAAATAATCATTTTATTTTTCTATTTATTCGATAATAACAGAAAATCTAAGATAAATTTCGATTCTTGATATTATCTTCCATGTCTTACACATTAATAATCATGAGATCTCACTGATGTTTTTATAAGATGATTTTCAAAAGTAACAAAATTTTTAGTAAATCTTGTTTTTTATTGACTCAGATTATAGAGCATATTGAATAAGTAGCTGAACAGTTAGCAACATTCCCTTGTAAGATTTCTTATTTTAAACAATAATACAATAGTTTTATTTTTCTTTGAAATAGAATCTATATTTAAAAGTGAAAAAACTTACTCATGAATAACTCTTGAAACCTCAGGTGTTTTTGCAATTGAAACGTGATTTTCAATAACTTTTGCTAAAATTCGATCACGTTTTTTATATTTATATGATTTAAAAGCATCATATTCTGTTTTAATATCATTTGGTATATCAAATAATTTTCTTGTTGGTGTTGTTGTTGTATAAGAACATTTTGTCCATTCTGTTACATCACCTGTACAACGATAACATGTATAACTAAAACAAAGAGTATATTTTAAAAAAAACAAAGAACTTCTTTTCTTTCTTTACTTAAAAATAAGAAATCCTCCACATTCTGGACAATGTTCTAATGAACCAAATGCCATACAATCTGCAACTGTATCAATTAACTAAATATTTATAATATAAATTTTTTAGTAAAAAAACAAAATTCAATCTCACATGTGATTCACCAGTAACAATTTTTTGTTGATTATGTTCAAGTAATTCTTTTAAAACATCATTTGGTACTTCTTTTTTTAACGCATCTTTATATTTCCAAAGTAATTCACTTTGTTCCTAAAAAAGAAAATAAGAAAATAAAACTTTTATTTTTGTAATATAATCAATAAACTTTTTTTTGACGAATTTCATCTTGTTCAGTTGTTGAATCATTTTTATCTTCTGTTTTAGTTTGTTTAGCTTTTGGTGCTTCATCATTATCACCTGTTGAACTTAATGTTTTATCACCTTTACGTTTTCGATTAACAGTTGTTGAACCAAATTTTTTTTTCAATTCAGTTTGATCTTCTTTATTAAGATTATTAAAACCATCAAATCTAAATTAAATAATAAATTAATTTAAAATATTAAAAATAAATAAATAAAAAAAACAAACGTTTCAGCATTTCCATTGAAATTGAGTTCATCTTTATGTTCTTTAAAACAATCAATATGATACCATTGATCAGTTGGTATTGAAGTATGACTTAATAAAACTTTTATTGATAAACGAACAAGATCTTTTTCAATTTTCGTATTACAACCATTACATGTACTGCGACTTGATCGTGCATATTCTGCACTATAATTATTTGAACTAACTTCATTTTCATCTGATTTATTATCTACAAATAAAATTTTCTTTGATAAGAAACAAAACAAAAACAATGTATTCACTTGAATCTTTAGTTGATTTTCCTTCGACTTTTTGACGAAGTTTTTCTTGATCATCCCAACGAAGATCTTCATAACCTTTTATTATTTGTGCATCAGCTGGTTTAACTTTTTTAAAAAAACAAGTCATATGATACCAAGTTGGAATCTAAATATGAAATGAATAGTTTCTTATTTAGTTTGAATAATATTTAAATATGAGACTTTTCCATCGAAATTTGGTGATTGAACCATAATAGCAAGACGTAATGAATCTTTATTGATAGTTGAACGACATCCTTTACATGTTGATCGATCAGATTTAGCATATTCAGCTCGAAATCCACATTCATCATCCATTCTTGTTTTATTTTATCACAATTATGATTTATCAAAGTTAAAAAAAAATGAAATCTCTTACATTTGGTTGTGCAATGATTTGAACAGAGAATCGGTTAGAATAACGACAAATCAAGACAATTGTTTAAACCAATCCTATTATTTCTATTAGAACTAATACATTTCTATTATAAATATGAAAAAAATTGTTTAAGATTTTATACTAAATCATAATTAAGATATTTTCGTATACATTAAACTCCATTTAAACCTTGTTTATGTGCGACACCTAGCTTTTAATATTTATCTATACAAAGACTATTTCGATCAAAGGAATTTAATGATATCTTTTCGACTAAAATTGAAAAATCAATCATTTATTCAATTTAAAACAAATACAGCACAATATTTTTTGTTTAATATTTCACTATTGTTACGTTTTTTCTCGTATTCAACTCAATTAGATAGTAGACTAGGAACAAAAAAAGCTGAGTAAAATATAAAATTTAAAAAGAATCATGTTCATAAATATTGTTTGAGTATTGTAGTTCGTGTTCCTCTCCCAACTTTTAAATTATGTAATGTCCATATGTCTATCAATTGAATAATTTCATCAGTAAATGATTGACTACATTGTACTTTTTCAATTAAAAATTGTCCAAATTCATCAGATGTTTTATGAATTAGATAACGACCAATTAAATCAGTCATTGTTAATATATAACATGAACGAAGTCGATCAAAATCCATATCATTTCGTTTTGGTAATGGCAAATCACGTATCTAAATATAATAATGTATTTTGTTTTTCATTGAATGAAATCAAAAGCAAAATTAATCTACATCACGATTACATATATGACTAAATTGAAAATTGTCAAATGTTATCAAATAACTTTCATTATCTTTTAATATTAAAGAAGAATTATTCGATAGATCTTTACTTTGTTTATTATTATTATTATTATTTTTCTGTTCGGAAAGAATTATAAGAGAAGATGATGAGAGTTTCTTTTGGATTAATGATTTATAAAACCTGTTCTTAGAAGATTTTGGCATTTGTTTAATAAGTGATAAAATATAATTCATTTTTATATTAATTTTATTTAAAAATGACATTCCATCGATAAAAGAAAAACAAAATATACAATTTAAATTAAGCGGTAAAATTGTACATTTAAAGAATATATGATCTTCTGTATTTCTGCCGAAAACGGAGAGTTTTCTGAAGGGTTTTCGGCAGAAATTCTTGGAATACTGCTTCATGAATCATCGACCTTAGAAATTGTTCAATATGAAAAAGAAGAAAATCACCTGAAAATATTATTTTGTTTTTTAAATTAATTATGACAAATGATTGAATAGTTTTACATTTATATCTATAAATATTTTCTCTTTCTATTTCAATTAATTTTCGACTAATAATACAAGGAGAGTATATCTGTTATTGTTATCGATTTCTCTGTCTAACTATATAGATATATATATTTGTAACAGAATTGATTTATGATTAGTGAATAAAAGTTATACGAGGAGAGATAGTTTAATGTCTTCGGTCAATGCCAAGACGTAATTGTTTATTGAATAAAGAATAAAACATACAAAAAAAAGCAAGCGGCATGAGACTGCTACAATCAAATACACACTATAATCAATTTGTATATTTATGACTTTTTAGTTCAACTTATGGTTCAAACTCTATTCCATCTTCGAGTCCCACTCACAATTCAGAATGATTCTTTTATTACCACTCTGTGTTGACCTTCGTAAAAAAAAGTGTTCTGTCAATAGACTAATCATATCTACCAACTTTTTGTCTCACTACCTTTATCCTTGAGTTCAAAGACGAAGACCAAAAGAAAGAAAAAGAATAAGAGAAAGATATAGAAAGAGTCAAGGATAAATGCGTTAAAGAAATATGCATCGAAAGGATGTCTGTCATATCTCTTGACACAATATTTCATTTTATATAATCATTTTCGTAGATATTTGCTTCTACTAAATAAAGTAAGTGGATTTTAAAATTTTTAAACCATGTATTTATTAATTATTATATTTTACAGTTGAATATATTTATATGATGTTAATTCATATTAGTCTTATTTTAACAATTCTTATTGTTGTAATCAATGGATCAATTCCATCATCTACAATTGAAATTGATTTAAATGAATTAGTTAAATTACATAAAGAATTTCTTGATCGATCTCCATCTGTACCAGCTATTCAAACTTATGAAATGAGATGTCGTGTTGTAACTGAATGTTGTCCTGATGAACAAGAAAATCTTTACACCTTATTTAGTGATAGTCAATTTAATGAAAAATGTTTATTAAATGGAACAAAATTAACTAAATCATCATCTACATCATTATGTATGACAACAATTCGTCAATTAATTCAATTAATAAAAGAATCAGTTTATGAACGATATTTTGAAATTCTTGGTAATAATCCAAATCGTCTTAATCGTATTGCAAGATGGAAAAAACAAATGAAAATGGTTTGTTCAGATGATGAACTTCGAGCACATTATTGTGAACGAAATAATATGGAAAAATTTAAATCATGTCAAAGAAAAGTTTTAGAAATGATTGCAAAAGAAAACGTTGACGATGATGGTACAATTTATAAAACATATGTTTCACAATGGGAACAAGAATATGCAATTGATAATCAAAAATTAGCCAAAGCTTTTCCTAAAGATTAATTTCATTCTTTTTTCGTTAATAAATAATAATCACTTTACATTAGAGTAAACATCTAATTCTTTTTTATTCTATTTGAATTGAAACTCAAGCATAAGATCATTTGTTCCATTCATGCACATTGGTATCAGTATTCATTCAAAAAGAGGATGATTTTCTCCACCAGCTGCTCCATCTTTTTATTGATTCCGTCCAGATTATCCATAGATACAGAACGAGAAACGTTCTATCGACTACTCTATATTTATTTCATTTCTTGCGCTTTTTCACATTTAAGTTTATTATTCCTGTTAGAGTTAACAGACGCAAGCATAGAGAAATCAGAATAATCACATATACATGAATTTTTTTAATTTTCTTTTTTGTTCACTCCTCGGCTTCTCTTTAGGACATAACAAATACATGATTATACAGAAGAGGAAGAAAGAAGATTATAACAGCGTTTGAGAGAGTAAGAAAGAAGAAACAAAGCAATACGAGGAGCGTGAAATATAGTCACATTGTTTCGATATAGTTATGATCAACTAGCTATATCATGTCTTACGTGTTTTCTCATTTGATAGAAAGAATGAAAAAAAACCAGCGATATAACTAGAGTGATATTAGTGAACTAACAAGGCCCACGTTTCAGAGAGAATATTTATCGATATTAAATAATATGTATAGATATATATATACATATTTACTTTTGTTTTAGATGGCTCACAAGCACAACAGCGATCCTCCGCTTCCTGATCTTCCTCAGCCAAATAAACTTTTTCGCACTTGTGGTCGTCTTCCCTCAATCCCACCCCGTCCGAAACCGGCCGTTTCCGGGCCGGATTTTTCGACCTGGATATTTTTATATTGGTCAGCAACTAGCAGGTCTGTTAGATGAACAAAAAACAACTGTTTTCTCTTTTTCTTCCTTTTTCACATTCATCGTCTTGACAACGGGCATGTTGAGAAGGATATAAAACAACAGAAATCGATAGAGACAACACTTCTCATATTTTGTACGTCTAATACAAAAGTTTAATTTGAAAATGTGTCAAAATTTGAATGATTCATCGAACAAATTCGTTGACGTGAGTATTTGACAGAAAAAACGATCATAAAAGAGAGAATTTGTGTCTAAAATCCGTAGTGACTTTGTTAATAATTTTTAATGTTCAAACTTAACTTTTCAAATATTTTTTTTTTAATTTCAGAACCCGAGCAATGATCCTACAATCAATGAACTAAACCAAATCCTCCACCACATTCATGAACAACAACAACATCAAATCGAACAACAAGAACAACAACATCAAGTCCTGAACTCGATTCTTGCCCAATTCCAATATCAAGAACAGCAATTTGAATTGATCATCAAACACCTCTCCGTTTCACCACCACCTTCTCAACAGTAAACAACTTCCTTTTTTTCCTTGTATTTCTTCCTGTCTGATCCTTTCTTGTTATTTTCTGTGAAATAAAAATTGTCAAAAACAAATCATTTCTTGTTTTTATCTTTCATAAGATACTCTTGATTATAAAAGTGTCGATCAATCCACTTTTATCTTTACTTTCTTTCTTCGAGTGAATCATTGGATTGTGATGATTCCTTTGTTTGTTGTATCTGTAAATTTGATAGAATAGGATTGATATATTCGATGGTCATACCGATCAAAATGATTTACATAGACAGTGCCGATAATGAAAAAAGTGAAATTTGTTTACAGTTTATCTTGACCAATGGTACACGACAATGATCCTCCACCTCCTGATCTTCCCAAGCCAAATAAACTTTTTTGCATCTGTGGTCGTCTTCCTTCGATCCCGCTCCGTCCAGAACCGGCCATTTCCGGGCCGGATTGTTCGACCTGAATATTTTTATATCGGTCAGCAACGAACAGGTCTGTTAGATGAACAAAAAACAACTGTTTTATCTTTTTCTTTCTATTTCAGATTGATCGTCTTGACAACGGGCATGTTCAGAAAGATATAAAAGAAGAGAAATCGATAGAGACAACACATTTCCCTTACTTTTTTTCATATAATAGAGAAAATTCATTTTAAAATGTGTCAAAAGTTGTATGAGCCATCAGATTACTTGCTCGATGTGAGTATTATTCGACAGAAAGATTGATAATAATAGCGAAAGCTGGGACTTACCATCGCCAGTCACTTCTATTAACGATTTTTATATTTTCCTTCAATCTGATAATAATCGTTTTTCCTATTTTAGAACCCAAACAACGACTCCGAGGTCACCGCAATCAACACCATCCTCCAACAGCTACATGACGAACAGGAATATCAATGTCAACAACTCAACAACATCACCCTCATCCTACAGCATCAAAATCAACAATTCGACATCATAATGAAACACTTACTAGCTCAACCACCTCCACAAGAGCAATTACCACCATATTCTCCTCCACAATAACTTTAATTCTTTCTGTTTTCTTGTGGTCTTTTCTTCGTTGTCTTTTTTCTTTTTGTTAAATAAAAAGGAATTTTGAAAAGCAAATCATTTCTTGTTTTTATCTTTGAAAAGATACTCTTGATTATGAAGATTTCAATAAATTTACGAACATCTTTACTTGCTTTCTTCAAGTGAATTATTGAACTGAGAAGATTTCTTTGGTTGTTGTGTCTGCAAATCTGATGAAATAGAGTAGGAATGGTATATTCGATGGTCAATAAAAAACGGAGAGATAAAATGATAAGGCTCGGATAAAGGGACACCATTGAATCTTTTCATTGTCAACGCTATCCATACCAATCAAAATGATTCACATAGACAGTGTCGACAATAAAAAACGTGAATTTGTGTATAGTTAGTTCATTTCGGCCAATGGTAAAGGTTAAACAAATATTAATGCAATTTTTGTTACATTGATGTAAAATATTATCTTGAGATTAAATATCGTTGGTTGAATATGAATCTTTTTCGAAAATAAGAGGAGCATATACAATCCTATTCAATCAACTATGGCATCATCGAGCTTTATTAGTGGAAATTTTGGTGATATCAAAGGTTTTCTATATGCATGGTTAGGTAAACAAAATAAACTTCCATCTTATGAAGTTTCTCAACAAGGTACTAAACAAAGAATTCGATTTAAATGTGAAGTAAGTTTAAACATTTTTTGCTCATCTTAAAAGTTCAACTCTGTTTTATTTTTCATTTAGTTAACAGTCATATCATATTCATATACTGCTATAGGAAATTCAACGAATAAAAAAGATGCTCAAACAAATGCTGCAATAGATTTTTGTCAATATTTGGTTTGTTAAAAATTCTTTGAAATTGTTGTAATTGAATTAATTCATATATAGGTTCGTGAAGGAAAAATGTCACAAAATGAACTTGAACCATATTTAGTAAATAAATTTATTTATAAATTATTTAAAAAAAAAATATTTATATAGCCATCAAAAAATTCATCAGTTCTTACAACACAAACACTTGGAACATTACCTGCTGGTCTTGTACCACCACATATGCTTCAACATAATACTACAACAAGTTCATTCTTTATCTAAATTTGATTCATTTCAATAACATTTTTCTCATATAGATGATGCTATTCCACCACCTGCTCTTCTTCCATATCAACCAGGACCACCATCTCATTATCTCGAACAAATTCATTCTGGTCGTAAAATGCTCGAAGAGGTTTGATCGTATTTTTTTTATAAACAAATGATTTTTCACATATAGATATTATTCTTTAGCAAGAAGAAAGTGATACAAATGCAGCAATTCATGGAAATTGGACAATTGAAAATGCTAAAGGACGTTTACATCAATATTTACAAAAAAATAATCTTCCGCAAGAATATAAATATACAGCAAGTGGACCAGATAATCTTCGGTTTGTTTCCCAGTTTTTTTTCTATACGTGAGAAAAGTGATCATTGCCATTACTTCGATATTTCGAAACTTTATAAATGAAAAAAAATCTAAGAGATCAATCGATTTTGCTTTTATATCATATGAATAGACAAAAGATTCTTTCATAAGCTAAATTGATTGATCGATAATTGAAAAATAAAAATTAATTCATACATGAAGAATGGCATTGATCACTTAGTTTCGTCCATTATAGAGATTTTTCAATGATCCTACATATTCTAGAACATTTTTTGCTGAATTATCCATTTATATACGAGAACGTAATCAAAGTAAGTTAAAATAAAAATAAAACGTATAATAAAAATTTATTTTTCAGCAATTTATGCACGTGAAAATGGTTCAACTAAACAGATTGCTTCAAAAAGTTGTTCACTTGCACTTGTTCGACAACTTTATCATTTAAATATTATTGAAGGATATACTGGAGAAAAAAAGAAAAAACAAATTGAAAAAGTAAATTCAATTGATTTTATTTCTTACTCAGATAAATAAAATATTGTATATAGACTACACCATTTCGTGTCAATGTTAGTAATGAAATTGTCGAAGAACTTGATCGTGTTATACAATTATTTAATATTCAACCAATTGTGGTATGAGAACAAATATATAGTTTAATTTTGATAAATATTTTCTATATATATTTATAGATAAATGAACAACAACCAACTGGTTCCTTATTAAATCCTCAAATATTAGAACGTTTTCCTTCAAGTGAACGTCGTACAATATCATCGATAATTCAATGGGTACCACCAATACCAAATTGGAACCCATGGATTTCATCAAATATCGATGAAGGTCCATTAGCAACAGCTACAATGGAATCAATTAGTGAAGATTTATATCGTGCAGAACAGTTTAAAACAAATAATGAAATAAAATTTCGTTTTCAAGAACGTCAAAATTTACCTGTTTTTACTTATCGACAACAAATACTTGAACAAATTAAAAATCATAATGTTATTCTTATTCGTGGAGCAACTGGATGTGGAAAAACAACACAAGTGATTTCATTAGAAAATCTTATATATTTTGTTTTCAATATAAATTTCTTTTTAGATTCCTCAATATATAATTGATGATGCTATTGAACATAATCAAGGTGCTCATTGTAATGTTGTTGTTACTCAACCACGACGAATAAGTGCTATTTCAATTGCTGAACGTGTTGCTTGGGGTTTAGTATTTGATTATTTTCTATTTAATTTTATTTCTTTTTATTTTCTAGAACGATGTGAAGATTTAGGTAATTCATGTGGTTATAGTGTTCGTTTTGAATCAATACTTCCACGACCATATGGTTCATTACTTTTCTGTACTGTTGGAGTTCTTTTAAGAAAACTTGAAAGTGGTTTAAGAGGAATATCTCATGTTATCGTTGATGAAATTCGTAAGTACTTCATTCTATTTATATTAAAATAATAAGTTGTTTTTTGTTTGTATAGATGAACGTGATATAAATACTGATTTCTTATTGGTTTTACTTCGTGATATGTTAAATGCGTATCCTCAATTGAAAGTTATTCTTATGTCCGGTATGTTTTTAAATTAAATGAACAAATTATTTATTTATTTGAGTTATTTAGCAACAATTGATGTAACTTTATTTCGCCAATATTTTTTCAATTGTTCAATAATCGAAATTGAAGGACGAACATTTGATGTTCGAGAATATTTTCTTGAAGATATGATTCAATTACTAAATTTTCAAGCAATAGATTCTAATTTAACAAGTCGAAAACAAAATAATAAAAATCGACAAATACAAGATGATGATGATGATTTAGGATATGAAGATTCACAAGCTGATGATATTGAGGTTACTTTTCGTCTCTTTTTATGATAAAATCTATATATATTTGATGTACTTTTAAAGGATGTTAATTATAATACAATATGTGATCAACAATATTCACCTCAAACTGCATCCACAATGAGTCAATTAAGTGAAAAATCTCTTTCATTTGAATTAATTGAAGTAAGATAAATAAATAATTACAAAAAAAATTCATTTTTAATAATTAATTACAGGCATTAATAACATATATATGTAGTTTGGGTGATGATGGAGCTATTCTAATATTTCTTCCTGGATGGAATTTAATTCAAGCATTATTGAAATATTTTCAACAACATCCAAGATTTGGTAAATTTAATTTTCAAAAAATAAAAAATCTTTTATTTCTTATTAAATCTTTTAGGTTCAGCTGGTTTTCGATTTCTTCCATTACATTCTCAATTACCACGTGATGAACAACATCGTGTATTTGAACGTGTTCCATCCGGTGTAAAAAAAATCATTCTTTCAACAAATATAGCTGAATCAAGTGTCACAATTGATGATGTTGTTTATGTTATTGATAGTTGTAAAGTTAAACAAAAATTATTTTCATCACGTAATAATATGACAAATTATGTTACTATTTGGGCATCAAAAACAAATTTAACACAACGACGTGGTCGTGCTGGTCGTACAAGATCTGGTTGTTGTTTTTATTTATGTTCAAAAGCACGTTATGAACATTTAGATAATTATTTATTACCCGAAATATTTCGTACACCATTACATGAACTTGCGTTAGCAATAAAATTATTAAAATTAGGTGATATTAAAGCATTTTTATCTAAAGCTATTGAACAACCACCAATGGATGCTATTGCTGAAGCTGAATTTACACTTAAACGTAAAAAAATAAAATTTATTTTTATTAAAATAAAAAAAATAATTTGTAAAATTTAGAAATGCAAGCCATTGATGAAAATGATGAATTAACACCATTAGGAAAAATTTTAGCTCGATTACCAATTGACCCAAAAATTGGTAAAATGATTATATTAGGTTGTATTTTTTGGTAAGAGAAGTTATGGAGAATATTTTAACCATATATAACAACCATTAGTTATTAATGTTTGATGTTTACTAAATTCTTCTTCATTATTAAGATTTAATTTATGAGGAGGTTTACCACTAATTGTACATGAATAATTTTTAATTTCTCGATATTTTGGTAGTTGAGGAAGATGACTTTCGATTTCTCTACGTAAACTTTCTAATGTAACAATAGGTTCATCAATTTTAACATCATGATAACTTCCATGAAGAATACAAAGATGAAAACTTGGCATAATTTCGATTTGTTCGTTTTAAATACAAAAAAAAAAGAAAATTTTTTCATTCTTCTTCTTTTGTGTCCTATGTCAATAAACTTTAAAAGTATTTTGATAAAATAAATAATCAATTATGAATGTTTTAGTGTTGGTGATGCAGCATGTACAATTGCATCTGCTACAAGTTTTCCAGAACCATTTCTACATGATGGAAAACACTTACGTCATATGCATCGAAATCTTGCTGGAAATCGTTTTTCTGATCATGTCGCTTTACTTAATGCATTTCAACAATTCGAAAGAGAAAAGTAAATTGAGATTTTTATTTAGTTGAAAAATTAATTTTTATTATTTAAAAGAAATCGAAATGGTGAGCGTGGTGAAATGGAATTTTGTGATCGTAAATGTTTGAATTTATCAACAATGCGAATGACATACGAAGCACGAGTATATTATTTTAATTTTATGTTAAATAACATTTATTTTGTTATTGTTTGATTTTAGAATCAACTACGAGATATAATGATTATGTCAGGTTTTCCTGAAGAATGTTTATCACCTCAATGGTTTGATGTTGAACAATCACATTCGAAATTAGACATTGTATGAATGAAAATAACGTTATTGTTTTTATATTTATTTATTTATTTATTTAATAGGTAATATCACTTTTGTGTTATGCACTTTATCCAAATGTTTGTTTTCATGTTTCAAAACGAAAATTACTAACAACTGAAGGTAAAGAAGCATTGATACATAAGAATTCAGTTAATTGTGGAAGAGAAATTCCAATATTTCCATCACCATTTTTTGTTTTTACCGAAAAAGTAAGGGAAATTTTTGAATATCTAAATCAGAATTTATTTCAATTTTTGTTTTTAGATAAAAACTCGAGCTGTATCAGCTAAACAAATGTCAATGTCAACACCAATTCAATTATTATTATTTGCATCGGATCAAGTTGATGTTGTTGAATCAAATCTTATTTGTCTTGATAATTGGTATGTATTTGTATTTATATATCTATTAAAATACATTTTTATTTCTTCTAGGATAATGTTAAATATGAATACTGATTTAGCATCAAAAATAGTATCTATTCGACCAGCTATAGAAGCATTAATTATACGATGTACACAACAACCAAATGATATTACTAATCGTCCACTATCAGTTGAACAATTATGTAATTTAATTCGTCTTTTGTCAGATCAACAACTTGAACATGTTTTATGTGAGAAAATTGTTGAAAATAATGAAACAACACAATCAACAAATTCAGATTTCAAGTGAGAAATAAATTTTGTTTATATTATGATTTAAAACTAAAAATCTTTAGTGAATCATCAATTAATTATCGACCAAATCAATTATTTCCATCAAATAGAGGATATCAACAACGACCATTTTATCGAGGAAATAATAATAATAATCGTCCTTTCAATCGATACAATTATCAAGGAAATAATATTCAACAACAGCAACAACAATATCAACCTCAAAATAAGTAAGAATGAAAATAGAAAAAATTTCATTGATTATTTTCTTTTTAGTATGAGTGGTGCGGGTTTTAGTTTCACACCTGATCCATCTCCAACACCGTCGGACTCCGAAAGTCCTTCACCATTCTTTAACAATAAAAGACAATTTGATAATGCATTTTATCCATCAACACCAAATACTTTTGAAAATCCACCGCCGACATCATCACCCTATCAATCCGGATGGGTAAATAATCGTGGTGGTTATTCAAATAATTATCGAGGTCGAGGTGGATATAATCGTTTTCCAAAACGAAGTCGACCTTATAATTACTAGAACTTATTTTTCATAGTTTTTTGTTTTGTTTCGCAAATAACATTCCATAAGTATTTAATATAGCTATAGTCCAATAAAACAAAGTTGCAATTAATAGCAAGTTTTTATGTTAAATTTCGGTAGTTGTTTGTAAAAGAAAGAAAGAAGCAAAGATTTATATTTGTATTGAGTAATACACATGTGAGAATTTCTTCACTTCAAACAAATATAAATGCATTTTCACCGTTCTTTACAATCGATTTATTAAAAATTCATATTTTTTTCATGAGGAAAATTCTATTAATTTGTAAGGTATGTGATTAATCTTGATAAATAATCGTCTTAATTTTATAAAATAGAAAATTCAATATCGAATACTAATATGTATATTATTTTTAATGATTTTGTATTTAATTGATAAGAATATTGTACATAAAAAGAATATTAATTTATTATCAAAACTATCTCGTCAAGATTTTTTAAATAAAACATTTTGTGGACAATTTATTAATGGAAATTGGAAAGAAACAATTTCTCAAGATGATATTGATGAAAAAAATGAATTTCTCAAAAAACAAATAAAAATTTGGCAAAATTTTCATGAAAACTTATCATGTGATCAATTTATTAAAATAAATTGTTTCTATAAAAAATCTGTAACAGATATCGAAAGAAATAATCCCATGGGTTTTACAATTCTTATTTATAAAAATTTCTATCAATTTCAAGTATTAATGAGAACATTATATACACGAACAAATTATCATTGTATTCATATTGATCTTAAAGCATCGTCAGATATTTATAAATATGCATTAAAATTATCAAATTGTTTAGATAATATTTATTTATCTAATCAAAGATTAAATATATCATGGGGAACATTTAGTCTTTTACAAGCTGAACGAATTTGTCAAAAGATTTTATTAGAAAAATCATCGAAATGGTTTTATTATATGACAATTGCAGTTTGTTTATTTTGTATTTATAGATTTATTTTAAGTTTAAAATTATTTTTGATTTAGGGAAGTGAACTTCCAATTGAAACAAATAGAAATCGAATTGAAATTCTTCACCTTAGTCCAGATAAAAATCGTATTGATGTTAGTTCTATTCCTAGACAAACAACATTTAAAAATTTAACTATTTATAAAGGAGAATTTCATACAATTCTTACACGAATATTTCTTCAAGCAATACATAATGATTCATTATCAATAGAATTTTGGAATTTTCTAAATGGAAGTTTTGTACCTGATGAATATTTTTATTCAACATTAGTTCATTTTCAACATTTACCTGGAATAAAATCAAGAATGAATAAAATTTATCCTTATTATCAACTTTTATCTCATTATAAAAGTTGGATTCATCAACCATTTAGTGAATGTCAATCGGAGAAAACTATTGAAGGTGTTTGTCAATTTAATTATAAAGATTTATTTAATATTGAACAAAGTAAAAAATTATTTGCAAATAAATTTAATCAAGATTTAGATTTAATCAGTATTTTTTGTTGGGAACAATGGATAAATATTAAACAAAATGATTATCTTCATATTGATAACAAACATTATTTAAACAAATTTCCATTTACAACAATAAATTCAACAGATAATTCAACACTTTCAAAAGATTTTTATCATATGCTCAAATATTTAAATAAACAGAATTAAAAACTTCGTATAAAATAAATCCATTTTTTTATTGATAATGATGAATTATAATCTATTTCTTTATTAAAAAAGTTCTATTCAAAATCATATTGTGGTTTTCCTTGTTTATAACCTTCCATAAATTTCTTTACAGTTTCGGTAGGAACTTTAACTTTTTGAACAGCTTCATTTGCTTCCATTGCATTAATCCATGCAGCAAGTTTAGGGAATTTTCCATCTGAATTAAATTCAAAACCTGCTTCACTTAACAATGGAAAACGTTCAATCCATGGCCATAACATATAGTCGATCATGGCTGGTTTTGAACCACCAAAAAATGTATTTGTAAGTGCTTCTTCATATGGTTTTAAATTTTTATTTAAATCTGCAACACCTTCCTTTGGATCTCCTCGCATGATTTTATAAAATGCAGTTGTAATCTAAGAAAGAGAAGAAAGGATCTATATTGAAATAAAAGTATAATTTGGTTTTCTATTTACGCTGCTGTATCTGTCAATTAAAACACGGTGTTGAGCTTTAAGATATGGATCAGTTGGTTGAAGACGATTTTGTGAATTTGTTTCATCAAGATAATCGCTAACAATAAGTGATTCAGGTATAAATTTCGATTCTTTTGAATCATGATCAATCCATTCTAAACCTGGAACTTGACCAGGTGCATTCTTTTTTAAATACCATTCTGGTTTATCAACAAGGTCAATATTTATTTCTTCATATCTAGAATAATTTGATAGATATTACAATTGTTTAAATATAAAATAAACTTACGGAATATTTTTAGCAGCTAAAACAAGTTTAGCACGTTGAGCGTATGGACAAAATTGCATACTATATAATCGTAATTGATTTTCTTTTAATGGTGGACATTCCGAACCTATTTAAAACTAATTGTATTGAAGAATGAGAAATTTATATCTATATATACCGGTTTTAAGATGTTTTGGATAACTTGGCATCGCTGATAAAAATCTTAAATGTTGTTTGAAAATTAATAAAAATATACTAAACTAAAAATTTTTCTTCCTATTTATATGCCTTCACAAATATGCATCGTCATCATGTCTTGCATACGTGTTTTTTTTCTTTTCTTTCCTTTCCTGATAAAACAAAACTATTACTAGACACTTTTTTAGATGCATGAATATAATTATGACGAGTCCTT